GGCGTTGTAATCTTGCACCAACACCGTCCTAGGTAGCCAAAACGTTTCGTAGGTAGCCGTCAAAGCCAAATACTGCACCTGGCGCGCTTCAACCCGTTTAGCCACGATATCCACAATTGGAGAACCCACTCCCGAGAACGCAGTCTCATCACCGCCAATGGTGAGGCGTTCCACAAAGCTCGTTTCCGGCAGGTCATCTTCCTCCAATGGTCCCTCGCTGTCAGAAGAAGCCGAGTCGTCAATCCCGCTCGGAACCTCGCTAGCGTATGGTCGACTCCACCGCCCCTTGAACTTTTCAGCCTGTTCACGTTAACAGTCACCACCTTATCGGGATGGCTCGAGATGGTGACGCGGTAGGCGTTCTCCCCGATTTTGCCAACAACCCGATACGGGCCGTGTCAAGAGAACGCTAACTTTTTTGTCTTTCGCTCTCCTCGCTTTGCCCTGAAAAACGGATACACCCAAGCTTGATCACCTTCAGTGAATTCCACGCGTTCCTGGTTGCTCATGCGTCTTTCATGTCGATCCTTGGGCCTTGATGAGTTGGCGTTCCACCATCCTTCGCGAATCCCGACCGATACAATTGTCGTCTGTACGTCGCTACCTCACTTGACTTCCAGTCCTGACCCGTGTTCAGGAACGCCAAGTCCAACGGTAGTACAGGATCACGCCCATAAAGGCTGAAGAACGACGAATCTCCCAACGCCTCATGGTAAGACGTTCGATAAGCAAACCAAACGCGCGGCAAATACACATCCCAGTCCTTTTGAGACTCGTGTACATACATCCTTAGCATGTTCAAAAGCGTTCCGTTGAACCGTTCCACCAGGCCCTGCGTCTGAGGATGATAAGCCATACTGAACAGTTTCTTTATCCCCAGCGTCTCATAGAGAGACCGCGCTAGCCCAGAAGTGAAATTGGAGCCACGATCGCTCAATAACCGTTTCGGAACGCCATAACGCGAGATCACTCTGTCGATCATGACTTCCACGAACGTAATCGTGTCCAACGCTTTCACAGCGAACGCTTCGACCCACCTAGTAAAGTAGTCAGCGAACACCAAGATGTCCTTGTCGCCACGTTCCGTAGTAGGGAGAAGTCCAATAGCGTCGACCACCAGCAGCGAGAGCGGCCCTGACAGATCCATTACCGGCATCCGTTGCATGAGTCCCGATCTGCAAGGTCTAGCGCCTTTTCCTCCACTACATATCGGACACGTCCGAACATACTCATCCACGTCTTTCTTCCACCCTGGCCAATAGACATGTTTTCTCACGCGATCGACCGTCTTCGTCTTCCCCATGTGAGCCGCGAAAAAGTCGGCGTGACAGTAGTGCAACACCGTTCTGATGAACTGCACCGGAATCACAGGAACGACGATCGTATTGGCCGGTCCA